TCATCTCACCCACACACTCAAAAGTTGTCGAAAAAAGTTTCCATAAGTAAGAGCAGCGTAGCTATAAGAATTCGCACTCTTAATAAGAATTATATGCGTTAGAGCGAGCAAGTGAAAATCAGGCGAAATTTGACAGCGAATTTCAAATTTGATTCTAGTAGGCTGCGAAGAAAAACATCAATTTCGCGAAAAATTTTGGAGGTNAATCAGGCGAAATTTGACAGCGAATTTCAAATTTGATTCTAGTAGGCTGCGAAGAAAAACATCAATTTCGCGCAAAATTTTGGAGGTAAGAAGCGATTTAATTTGATTAAATGTATTTTTCTTTTATTAAATACATATATGTATATTTTATATATCCATAGATAGCCAAACATCAGCAGGAGACTTAAGCCATCAGAACTGAACTGAGTTCCAGGTTGGTATATTGCAAAGCATTAGCCTCTTTTATTTCTAAACTAAATATAACTAATGGAAAAGTGCAATAAGCGCAACCATGTTCAAACGTCGAATTGGNTTTTAGGGAGTGTTGCTGGAGTGACAGTCCTTGGCCAGATATAAATCTGGGTCGTTCCGGTTACGTAGATCCGACTGTCGTGGTCACNATAAATCTGGGTCGTTCCGGTTACGTAGACCCGACTGTCGTGGTCATTTCCATCAGTTATAGTTTAGAAATAAACGAGGCTGATGCTTTGCAATATACCAACTTGGAAGTCAGCATTTAACCATTGTTAACAGTTTCATTTGATTATAATGTAATTATTTCTTTTAGATTGCCAAACATCTGCAAAGACATCCACAGCACACTGAACACCATTGGTCACCAATAGCTCTCAACCCTACATCATACCAGCTACATTGTTCGGCGAGTTTTATTGTTCAAATCAGTCATGCCCAGCGCAGGGCACTTGCATATGGAATTCTGCCAGCGCAGGGCATTTGCTTATGGAGTTCTGCCGACGTTGGGCATGACTGGTTTAAATATTAAGAAACGCGGTTGCTCCAAGTGCAATGCAAATATGTATGTACTTTTGTATGTTAAAAGTGCAACTAGGTAGATATGTAAACAGCAAAAAGTGTGGTGCAATAAATGTGAAAAGTCCAGTAGAATGTCTGTTTTTCTAAGCGCAACAATATAAAAATCAGTTTCTTTTAATTCCAATTAACAGCAAATTTACTTAATTTGTGCCAACTGAGTTTAATGTAAATTGTGTAAATTATTATATGTATATGTATATTATTGATGCGTTTTTAAAAACAGACATTTTCGGTCAGGAACAACATTTGCATCCGCTGCATTTGCATCAGTTGTTGTAGTTGCATCGACCAAATGCTG